GTTATGAGACTGTCCATTCTGATGTAGGAGTGACCCCAGTTAGTTGGGCCACTGAAGGTGCTTTTGAGAGTGACTTTTCCCTGTGCAATGCCTTGTACAGTGGGGAGTTAGAGGTTGAAGTAAAACCTGTGCATGGTTCTCAAAAAGAAAGCGATGTAACTAATGAGTGCCAGTCACAGGTTGGTAGTAGGCTAGTACAGCCCACAAGAGCTACAAATGCTGATGATGTTGATGATGTGAAATGTTCTGCTGTTGGGAAAACCCTAAGCTCTTGCAGTGCAAAATCTGTAATTAAAGATGGTCATTTCTCATAGCAACTGGTGTGAAGACAGCACAGGTGTCCTTGGACATCTCCAGGGGTCTCCGTGTATTGGAGCCGGAGGTTGCCCTGGACAACTGCGATGTCACTCTGGTGGAGCAGAGTGGAACTGCAACTTGTCATAGCAGTGTGTTGGTGCAGTCTAACAATACAGAAAGTGTTCAGGTGAACAGCGGGTTAATGCAGCCTGGCAAAAATGCAAGTGTGTGGGTAGTTCAGGAAGCACCACCAGAGCAAAGTGGTGGATGTGAGGTATTGCAACCTGCAGTGGGAAAACAGGTGTTACCCAAGTCTGATGTGCTCCAGTTGATTTGTGCAATGAATCTGCAACTAAGCCCGTCTATTCTTATGTGTCTCCTTGGGCGGATGGATCAGTGCTGAGGAGCACTGGTGAATTGAGCACATATACAATGGATTGGGATAGTTGGGGGTAAAAGGCTAATCTCGTTGATAGATGAGGTTTTTATGCAAAAAAATAAGGTGAACACTGTGTCTGCTGTGCCAGCAGGAGGGTCTATAGAACAGCCTATAGATAAGGGCGTGTATACAGCAGAGACTTTGTCTGTGACCCACAAAAGTGATGTTGGCATGGAGTGTCAAAATGATGTTGTCACTGGGAATGATCAGGGGCAGCTTGTGGATGCTGAGTCTGAGATGTTGAGAGTGAGCCCAGCACATGGCAGCGCTCTGGTGGAGCACCAGGCTGTGGTTATCTCCACCTTGGAGGGGGTCCCTTTAAAAATTTCAACTTCTCAAGTCTCAGCAGGTGAGTCTCTCAGCGTTCCAGTGCCCTAAATATGGTCAGGAAGGTATTAGGTTTAGAGTCAAGTGGTTGGGTTGTAACCAAAGTATTAAAGGAGATGCTTGAAACTTTGGAATGTACAACCAATGTATACTGGGGTGTCTCCTCCACAGTCAGATGGTCTGGTACTGCGAGTACCACTAGGTGGAGCACCAAATGGCTGGCTGTACATATCAAACGGGAACAAGAAAGTGGTTTATTTCTGAATTTGTTGATGGTGTTAAAAGTTGTATCAGGGTATGCCGCTGGATTACCTGTAAATGTGATAGATGAGAAATGTTTTGGAGAAATGAAAAATGAGTCAAAGGTTTCACCTCCTAACAGCCAGGTGGGAAGCATTTCTGCTGCTATGGTCCAGGATGGTGCTGGTCAGTTGTCAGTGAAGGGCGTGTTGACTGAACCAGTGGACAAACCACATGAGATGGAAGGGCCGAGCATGGACCAGAGAACAGCAGAGATCCTGACCAGGGCTCAAATGGATGTGCATAAGGAAATCAGGGTCATTGGGCAAAAAGAGATTTATGTAGCAGGTCTGATAAGACACCTGACATACATGGACAAATGGTATCTGAAAACTGGCAAAATGGATCAGAAGAGAGCTCATCTGTACAGGATTTGTATACAGATCCAAGTGGTGTAGAAAAAGTTAAAATGGTGGGACAGCCGCCTGCAGATTGCATGACGCCAGGTGAAGTGGCATTTTGTGAGGTTCACGTGGGTGATGGCTGCCCTATGGTGTGTGTGCCATCTGCAGACACTGTCCTAACTAATGCTGGAAAAGATATTGAAAGGTGTAATATTGACTGGAATATAACTGTTCATGGTAAAACTGAATGCTGTGGTAATGAGTCATGCAGTTTTGATAGCTAAAGGTACAAGAAATCAGGGGGGTGGTCCTGGTACAAATACAATAGAAAATAGTTTCCCTACAGCCTTGGGACAGTAATACTGAGAGAGGTATTAGGAAACCTTGGAACCTGAAGCAAAGGGGCAGAAAGGTCAATAGAAAGGGCCAGGGGACTCTCTGTTAGGATTTCAAGAGAGAAAGTGTTTATGGAAGTGCACCCGGAAAAAGAGTAGGCAAGGTCTAAATAGAGCCCATAGCAGAGTGACAATGGGGCTTGGGGAGAGACACCAAAGGAGTCATTGGGTAGAGTTCCCCTTTAGGAAAGGTATGGTCAGACCAGATTGGACCCCTGTAAGTGAGAGCTGGCACAGAGGTGCCAGAAGGTATAAGTTGTGTGTTCTGCCCCCTACGGGATCAAAACAAAGGGGGGGGGATAATGTGACAGTGTGGCGATCTGTCACCCTGGATTCTCAACAAGGCAGGTTGAGGGGCTCCAGGGTAAAGGTTTGATATGGAGGAAAGTGGCTTTTCACTTTCCTCCTTTGTTTGTAAGGTCCATTTTGGGATCTGGAGCCTGGAGATTTCGAAGCAATTTGGGAGGGATGAAATCTCCAATCCTGGGACCAGGTGTTGGAATAGGCCAGGAGACTGATTGCACAGATGTGTGCAGGCCTTTAGATAGAGTCAGGACCAGGGTTCTGGGCTCCACCCCCGGCAGATAGGAGTCAGGAGGACTCCACCTGGAAGACAGGAGTCAGGTCGGCTTCACCTAGGAGAGGTGGAAGCCAAAAGCAGCAAGGGGCTGCTAGAGACTAGCTGTGTGCTAGTGGCCATAATTCTTGAAGAAGTCTGCAGGAGACAGACATCAAGCTGAGTGTAAGCCAGGAGGCTGAATCATTGTTTTGTTTGATGGTGGATACCCCTGTGTGGGAAACTTCTGGTTTGAACTTTCGTTTAAATAAAAGTGGGCTAAAAAGGCCCTGAAAAAAGGGAGTAGCTGTGTGCATTTAAAAGCTCTACCACTTTGAAGCGAGTTCCCACAATATATACACTGCTCAAAAAAATTAAAGGAACACGTTTTTAGTCAGTGTATAGCATTAAGTCAGCTAAACTCCTGGGATATTGATCTGGTCAGTTAAGTAGCAGAGGGGGTTGTTAATCAGTTTTAGCTGCTTTGGTGTTAATGAAATTAACAACAGGTGCACTAAATGTGCAACAATGAGATGACCCCCAAAACAGAAATGGTATTACAGGTGGAGGCAACTGCCATTTTTTCCCCTATTCATCTTTTCTGACTGTTTTTTCACTAGTTTTGACTAGGGTCAGTGTCACTACTGGTAGCATGAGGCGATACCTGGATCCTACAGAGGTTGCACAGCAGTCCAACTCCTCCTGGATGGCACATCAATACGTACCATTGCCAGAAGGTTTGCTGTGTCTCCCAGCACAGTCTCAAGAGCAAGGAGGAGATTCCAGGAGACAGGCATTTACTCCAGGTGAGCTGGACAGGGCCATAGAAGGTCCTTAACCCATCAGCAGAACCGGCATCTGTTCCTTTGTGTAAGGAGGAACAGGATGAGCACTGCCTGAGCCCTACAAAATGACCTCCAGCAGGCCACTGGTGTGAATGTCTCTGACCAAACAATCAGAAACAGACTTCACAAAGGTGTCCTGAGGGCCAATGTTCTCTAGTGGACCCTGTGCTCACTGCGCCACATCATAGAGCTTGTTTGGCATCTGCCATTGAACACCAGAATTGGCAGTTCTGCCTCTGGTGCCCTTTGCTTTTCACAGATGACAGCAGGTTCACCCTGAGCACATGTGACAGACATGAAACAGTCTGAAGAAGTCATGGAGAACGTTATGCAGCCTGTAACATCGTTCAGTATGACCATTTTGGTGGTCGGACAGTGATGGTTTGGGGAGACATATCCATGGAGGGACGCACAGACCTCTACAAGCTAGACAATGGCACCCTGACTGCCATTAGGTATCAGAATGAAATCCTTGGACCCATTGGGTCCTGGGTTCCTCCTGGTGCACGACAATGCCCAGCCTCATGTGGTGAGAATATGCAGGCAGTTCCTGGAGGATGAAGGAATTTGATACCATTGAATGGCCCTTACGCTCACCTGACCTAAATCCAATAGAGCGCTTCTGGGATATCATGTTTTGGTCCAACCGACGCCGCAAGGTTGCACCTCAGACTGTCCAGGAGCTCAGTGATGCCCTGGTCCAGATTTGGGAGGAAATACCCAAGGACACCATCCTTCGTCTCATTAGGTGCATGCCCCATCGCTGTCAGGCATGCATAGAAGCACGTGGGGGCCATACAAACTATGGAGTACCATTTTGAGTTGCTGCAATGAAATTTCAGCAAAATAGACTAGCCTGCTGCATAATTTTTTCACTTTGATTTTTGGGGTGTCTTTGAATTCAGTCCTCTGTAGGTTGATAATTTTCATTTCATCAAATGATGGAGCATCCTTACATTCCTAAGACATTATCCAGTCCATATCAGTATAGATATCCAGCATGATATTTTTCCACATTGAGATCTGATGTGCTTTCAAAGTGTTCCTTTCATTTTTTTGAGCAGTGTATATATACCGTATTTTCTGGCGTATACGATGACTTTTTAACCCATGAAAATCTTCTCAAAAGTCGGGGGTCGTCTTATATATGCTGACACTTCCGAGCCGGTGTCAGGGCGACACTATTTAGGGGGGCGTCGTGGTGCCACCGCCCCCCCCTTCCAACGGAAGGGACACTAAGTACAGGGGTGGGCAGGGGGCTGCTGTTTCTTACCTGGCTCTGGTCCCACAGCGATCCAGTCCAGAAAGCGCGGCTGCTCCTTCATTCAGTTCGGCCGCTCCCTCACTCGATGTTCGCGTGGCCTCTTGACATTGGGCACCAAACTGAGCTCAGGAAAGGCACACAGGCACTATTCCTCCTCCCCACTGACACACGAATATCGAGTGGGCGCACTAAGTGTGCCGTGCAGATGGTGCTGCCCCACGTATGCTGGCTACAGCAGCACCATGCTGGAACAGGGTCAGCTAGTGTCATTGGTGTCAGTGGGAGGAATAGTGCCGCATCATTGGTGTCACTGATACTAATGATGGGGCATTATTCCTCCCACTGACACCACGATGGGGCACTATTCCTCCCCCCACTGACACCAACGATGGGACACTATTCCTTCCCCCCCACTGACACCAAACGATGGGGCACTATTCCTCCCAACTGACAACCAATGGGGGACACTATTCCTCCCCCCCCACCAATTACAGCAACAATGGGGCACTATTCCTCCCACACTGACACCAACGATGGGGCACTATTCCACCCCCCCACTGACACCAATGATGGAACACTATTCCTTCCCTCACTGACACCAATGATGGGGTACTATTCCTCCCACTGACACCAATGTTGGGGACACTATTCCTCCCACTGACACCAATGACGGGGCACTATTTCTCCCACTGACACCAATGACAGGGCACTATTCCTCCCACTGACACCAAAAGACAGGGCACGATTCCCACCACTGATACCAATGATGGGCACAATTCCTCCCACTGACACCAATGATGGGGTGCTATTCCTCCCACTGACACCAATGATGGGGTGCTATTCCTCCCACTGACACCAATGATGGGGTGCTATTCCTCCCACTGACACCAATGATGGGGCACGATTCCTCGCTCTGACACCAATGATGGGGTACTATTCCTCCCACTGACACCAATGATGGGACACTATTCCTCCCACTGACACCAATGATGGGACACTATTCCTCCCACTGACACCAATGATGGGACACTATTCCTCCCACTGATACCAAGATGGGGCACAATTCCTCCCACTGACACCAATGATGGGGCGCTATTCCTCCCACTGACACCAATGATGGGGTGCTATTCCTCCCACTGACACCAATGATGGGGCACAATTCCTCGCTCTGACACCAATGATGGGGTACTATTCCTCCCACTGACACCAATGATGGGACACTATTCCTCTCACTGACACCAATGATGGGACACTATTCCTCCACTGACACCAATGATGGGACACTATTCCTCCCACTGACACCAATGATGGGACACTATTCCTCTCACTGACACCAATGATGGGACACTATTCCTCCCACTGACACCAAATATGATGGGACACTATTCCTCCCACTGACACCAATGATGGGGCACGATTCTTCCCACTGACACCAATGGAGGAATAGGTCTTCCCACTGACACCAATGATGGGGCAATTTCTCCCACTGACACACGATGGAGTACTATTCCCATCACTGACACTAATGAGGGGGCACCATCATTGGTGTCAGTGGGAGGAATAGTGTCCCATCATTGGTGTCAGTGGGGGAGGATCATTGGTGTCAGTGCCCCATCATTGGTGTCAGTGGGAGGAAGGACCCCATCATTGGTGTCAGTGGGAGGAATAGCGCCCCATCATTGGTGTCAGCACGGGAGGAATCGTGCCCCATCATTGGTGTCAGTGGGAGGAATAGTGCCCCATCATTGGTGTCAGTGGGAGGAATAGTGCCCCATCATTGGTGTCAGTGGGAGGAATAGTGTCCCATCATTGGTGTCAGTGGGAGGAATAGTGCCCCATCATTGGTGTCAGCACGAGGAATCGTGCCCCATCATTGGTGTCAGTGGGAGGAATAGCACCCCATCATTGGAATACCATACTGAAATACCATACCATATTGAAATCAAATCTGATGTTTTTTCATTTTTATTTGGTGTGCGTTGGAAGAGGGGTAGTCTTATACGGTGAGTATAGCCCAAACCCTATATTTTAACAGGAAAAGTAGGGGGTCATCTTATACGCCCAGTCGTCTTATAAGCCGGAAAATATGGTAAATCAAAAATGACATTAAAAACTTTTCTGTAAAAGTCAAGCATGGTCCTTTCTTCTCTTACTTTTTAAAGCGGTAGTAAACCTCAAAAAAATAAATTTAAAAAAATCTTCTCACTGCTGTCCATTGACAGTGTGCATGCACCAGTGAATTCACCGGCGCTACAAAAGTAAATATCTCCTACGCAGTGCAGATACAATTTACAAGGTATTTACAATACCTACAGGTAAGTCTTATTAAAGATTTATCTGTAGGTAAAACATAAAAAACAGACTTTATTTCCACTTTAAGTCTCCCAATTGGTCCTACTATGTAACAGGCAATCTTAGCAATTATTGGGAGGATCCAGAGCTTTGAAGGGCAGATGATTTGAGGGGCTTGGAATATACAGAAGTGGTTTTTAGCATATCATTGCAGATGTATACTTTTATGGATGGTGTGACCATTGTGGTTTGAAGTGGCAGCAAAGTCTAAATAAAATATCTGCTTTCCTGGTTAAATACCTATCACACATGCTGAACTGCATTGAGTTTGTAAGTTCTCTCTGTGGATCTCCCACCAGGGTTTTAGTTAACCCCAAAAAATGCTTTTGTAGATTAATCTGTTTCCATTTAAATTAGATGTAGTGTGTATATAACCCATTGAAATGTTATTACTTGCAACACATTAAGATAGACATATGATGGCGGTGGCCTGCCATTCAGGGTCACTCACATGGACAGAACAGCCATCTGGAACTTGTATGCTCTATGGTGAGTAGGGCAGTCAGGGACTACATTTCCCAGGAAGGGTAACCTGTGGGCGGGGGCATATAAATATCAAAAGCTGGGGGCCAGGAGAGTGCGGGGAGAGACAGAAGGAGAAAGAGGTGTGATGAACTAGGCCGCTGAGCCAGGGTTGGAGAGAGAGGAAGAGTGGAAAGAGCCTACTGACCACCTGGTCTGCCACGCTGCCCAGCAGGCCATTCTGACAGCAGGAGACCAGAAGGGATGCCAAGTCTGAGCCGGAGAGTCTGTGGACTGACCCTGTCTACAAGGAAAGACAGACTGCTTCGATCTACCGGACTACTTTGATTGGGTGAGAGAGACCCATACACCCACTAACCAAGTGAATGCAGACAGTTTGCCACCTCAGTTATCTACCTACACATAGTTGTGAACATTACATATAATTGCCCCCTAGTTCTCGCAGCCGCCATCATTGAGATACATCCGCATTACAGTTTATCGTACAAGCTGACCACAGGACATACAGCTGCAAGGCAGGATACAGCAGTGCCAACTGAAACTACAAGTTTACCATCTTCAATAAAGCAGGATTCCTATTACTGTTCATTTTTGCCTTTTTATATTTAAAGGGAGATGTTTTTGTCCATAGATACTTACACCAATTGTTGCTATTCATTGCTTAAACTTCTTATTGGTCTACATTAACTTGTGTGTGAGTCCAGTTTACAATTGTGATTTATTTTGGTCTTGAGAGCACAGTGGGGTGAGCAGATGTTGGGCTTTCAACAAGATGTTCAGATTGGCAGGGAACCCAAAAATTACTAAGCAACACTTAAGGGGGTAGTGCTACATGTATGACTATGGGAGGGTCACTAACCAGTAAGCTTCTTCCATGGCAGGGACTGTTATGCATGGCTTATGTTCCCTGCAAAGTGCCATGGAATTGTCTGCTCTCCAAAAATGAAATAGCTAAATATGGAGTCCCAATGTATCAGATGCAGTATTCTTAATCCCAGTGCTGACTTTAAAGACCCCAAATCAACTGTATACTGCTTTTAAGTACTGACATTTGTGCAAGTCAATAAATTCAGCAACACATTTTAAAAATCATTCATAATATACCTAAATGAAGTAAATAATTATAAAATGTAGGAAGACGTCCTCAAACAATAAAAATAAAATAGCTACAAGATTATTTATACAGAAAGCTTCAAAGCATATAAGCTCTAGACTGTTTTGTTATGTATTTCCCCTAAGCTCCTTTCATGTTTTTCCAAATAAGGTTCACAACCAGTCAGTGGCCCGAAAGACACATCTGGTCCCATAATTTTATCTGCAGTTTACAGACATAAATGCTTTTCCAGACTGTTTTACCACAAATTCTCTTGTATTTAGTCCCCGGAGACAAAATTCAGGAGCTTTTTTTGTGTGGGAATTGTTTCACAGACAAACATGGGGTAGGGCCTCCTAGAGAGGTCAGTGCTGTTTACACCTACATCATATGATGCTTCATGCAGTGCATCTGAGACATACTGTTACTATATATATATATATATATATATATATTAGTGGTGGCAGGCTCAACTGGTAGCAGTAACCACATGCAGGGGACAGGGAGATCCAGGAAACAGTCTAAACAGTCCTGCAAATGTATTTACCAAGGCAGTAAACACATGGTGTTCATTGCAGGAGGACTTTGTACAACTAGTCCATAGCAAAATACAGTATCTGTTCATCCTAGCTACTAACTAAACCTATGTCAGTTTCTGACTAACAGAATTCCCCCCAATGGGTTCCTCAAAACAATCAGCACATGTATCTTTTTAGAATTCTGTCAGTAGTCAGCCAATCACCCAGGAGCAGACTCTCAATTAGCAGAAAGAATGAGAGAGAGAGCTATTGAGCCTCAGACAGCTCCCATATAAAGACCTGTACACAGCTGACTAATTGATTAGGTCTGTCTTACAGGTAAAACATGGCCCTAGGACGTTCACTTTTTTCTGCTTCACTAACTCAGTTATACCTTGCTGGTGACACTTTAGGGTTGCTTTCTGCTGAGAGAACCTCCTGATCCTTCCAGGGTCTTATTGGTTTAACATGATATACTTGGAGGGCCTCTCTCTTTCTGGGCTGGTATACCTGGTAGTTGAGATCACTGACCCTTTCTCTGATCTCATAGGGGCCTTGCCAGTTTACTCTCTACAGTAAGCAACAAAACAAAAATGTCTCTCAGGTTAAAGGTTCTGATTTTAGCAAAGTGCCTCCCTGTGCTTCTTTGGCATTCTGCATAGTTAACAAACTATGTTTCCAGGGCTATATCCAGGAATCTCTGGGAATATCTACTTTACAAAGGTTCAAACTGGGAAACTCTGTAGAGAAGTGTGGTTCTTCCCTGACTAGGAATATTAAGTATGGTAATACGAACTCCCAAATTTTAACAACCACTTCTTTTAACATTCCATTCAGGGTTCTTTTGAACTTTTCTACCAACCAATCAGTTTGTGGGTGGTACACTGAGGTGCAAAGATAAATATCTGATAAAGCTTTCTGATTATCTTTGACATAGAAGTGTTCCTTAGTACATCAAAAATCCCTAGGATTAGTTTTATTGGGCACAGCTCATGCTCCATAAACTTGGAGGATGTGTTTTTGAGAGGGATTGCTTTAGATACTGGGTGCCATAATCAAGTGCTGGTGCCCGGTGATGGACCTCTCAAAAGAAACCTCACTTAAGGTTACTTCAAAAATGTGGTTAGGGTGCATTAATTTGAAACTCAGGGCAAGATTTACAATACTCCTCAATAGTTCTGCAAATACCAGACCAGAAAAAAATGCTACTCAAATAGCTCTTTTGTTTTTATTACCTCTAAATGATCATCCAATACATGAGAAAAGGTCAAATCCAATACCATACTCATGTGAAAATGGTTAACAACTGGCTACTCTACAACTTGCTCCCAATACACAATTCATTAAGTCATGGGATACTGAAAGTGGGGGAATACCAGGCTAACTTACTCCTTTTGGTACCCCTTCTCTCACCTCCAAATTTTTCCATGCATTTCCCAAACTGGGATCCCACAAGTGTGCAGTTCTAACAATCATCCCTGACCACTGGTATATTTGAAACCTGAGTCTGTTTCCTCTGACTCCCCAAACATAACCACTAATGGGAAGTTATCAGATACCTCTGACATAGGGTTACCATCATTCCACTTCAGGTAAGATAGTATGATCATTTACTAAGGCACATTTTCAGAACTAAGCTGCAAAGTCACCAAAAGAAGCGCTATCAATGCTGGATGGGGAGTTCCACAATCAGAGCCCAGTAGTAAAGGAATAAAGTCATAACACATTTTATTGGTGTAACCCATTGAAATGTTATTACTCACAATACATTAAAACGGACATTAGATGGCAGTGGTCTGCTATTCAGGATTATTCACATAGAACAGCCCTCTGGAACTTGTATTTCTGAATAGCAGGACTTGGCTGATAAGCAAAGTGCTTGGGACTACATTTCCCAGGAGAAGTAGTGTGTGGGAAGGGGCTTATAAATATCAAAAAACAGGAGCTTGGCCAGGCCAGGAGAGTGCAGAGGAAGATTGAAGGAGAAGGAGGTGTGTTGACGTGGCCATCTACTGAACCACACTGATCAGGTGAGAGAGACCCATGTTTGCACTAACAAAGTGAACATTGATAGCTCATCACCTCAGTTATCTGCTTTCACATAATTGTGAATATCACATACTGTTGCCCCAGTTTGTGGCCTAGTTATACCAGCGCAATTGCTTGAACATATCTGCATTACAGTTATTGTTCAAGCTGACAGCAGGACATACAGTCACAGACCAAGATACAGCAGTGCCAACTAAATCAATAAGTCCATGTCCCTCTCTGCAGAGCAGGATTCCTACCATTGTTCATCTTTTGCCTTTCACATTTAGAGAGAGTTGTTTATGTCCATAGACATTTTGTCAATTGATTCTATTTACTACTTCAAGCTCAGTTCAAGATTAAAGCTCTCAAAGGGAACTTTGCACTAA